AAAAATTCTATTTAAAAAATCCACGCCTAGGGTAGAATTAGTCCTTGAAAAATGTTTTTTTAAAATATCCACGCCTAGGGTAGAATTCGTCATTGAAAAATGTTTTTTAAAAAATCTACGCCTAGGGTTGAATTAGTCCTTGAAAACTTCTATTTAAAAAATCCACGCCTAGGGTTGAATTAGTCCTTGAAAACTTCTATTTAAAAAATCCACGCCTAGGGTAGAATTAGTCCTTGAAAAATGTTTTTTTAAAAAATCCACGCCTAGGGTAGAATTAGTCCTTGAAAAATGTTTTTTAAAAAATCCACGCCTAGGGTAGAATTAGTCCTTGAAAGATGTTTTTAAAAAATCCGCGCCTAGGGTAGAATTAGTCCTTGAAAAATGTTATTTAAAAAATCCACGCCTAGGGTTGAATTAGTCCTTGAAAAATGTTATTTAAAAAATCCACGCCTATGGTTGAATTAGTCCTTGAAAAATGTTTTTTTTTTAAAATCCACGCCTAGGGTAGAATTAGTCCTTGAAAAATGTTTTTTTTTTTAAAAATCCAAGCCTAGGGTAAAATTAGTCCTTGAAAATTTTTTTTTTAAAAAATCCACGCCTAGGGTAGAATTAGTCCTTGAAATTTTTTTTTAAAAAATCCACGCCTAGGGTAGAATTAGTCCTTGAAAATTTTTATTTAAAAAATCCTCGCCTAGGGTGTTGATGGTCCTTGAAAAATGTTATTTAAAAAATCCACGCTTAGAGGTAAGATAGTCCTTGAAAAAAATGTTATTTAAAAAATCCACGCCTAGGGTGTTGATGGTCCTTGAAAAATGTTATTTAAAAAATCCACGCCTAGGGTGTTGATGGTCCTTGAAAAATGTTATTTAAAAAATCCACGCCTAGGGTGTTGATGGTCCTTGAAAAATGTTATTTAAAAAATCCACGCCTATGGTGTTGATGGTCCTTGAAAAATGTTATTTAAAAAATCCACGCCTAGGGTGTTGATGGTCCTTGAAAAATGTTATTTAAAAAATCCACGCCTAGGGTGTTGATGGTCCTTGAAAAATGTTATTTAAAAAATCCACGCCTAGGGTGTTGATGGTCCTTGAAAAATGTTATTTAAAAAATCCACGCCTAGGGTGTTGATGGTCCTTGAAAAATGTTATTTAAAAAATCCACGCCTAGGGTGTTGATGGTCCTTGAAAAATGTTATTTAAAAAATCCACGCCTAGGGTGTTGATGGTCCTTGAAAAATGTTATTTAAAAAATCCACGCCTAGGGTGTTGATGGTCCTTGAAAAATGTTATTTAAAAAATCCACGCCTAGGGTGTTGATGGTCCTTGAAAAATGTTATTTAAAAAATCCACGCCTAGGGTGTTGATGGTCCTTGAAAAATGTTATTTAAAAAATCCACGCCTAGGGTGTTGATGGTCCTTGAAAAATGTTATTTAAAAAATCCACGCCAAAGGTGGTGTTGGATGGTCCTTGAAAAATGTTATTTAAAAAATCCACGCCTAAGGGTGTGATGGTCCTTGAAAAATGTTATTTAAAAAATCCACGCCTAAGTGTGATGGTCCTTGAAAAATGTTATTTAAAAAATCCACGCCTAAGGTGTTGATGGTCCTTGAAAAATGTTATTTAAAAAATCCACGCCTAATGTTGATGGTCCTTGAAAAATGTTATTTAAAAAATCCACGCCTAAGGTGGTGTTGGATGGTCCTTGAAAAATGTTATTTAAAAAATCCACGCCTAAGGTGGTGTTGGATAGTCCTTGAAAAATGTTATTTAAAAAATCCACGCCTAAGGTGGTGTTGGATGGTCCTTGAAAAATGTTATTTAAAAAATCCACGCCAAAGGTGGTGTTGGATGGTCCTTGAAAAATGTTATTTAAAAAATCCGCGCCTAAGGTGGTGATGGTCCTTGAAAAATGTTATTTAAAAAATCCACGCCTAAGGTGAGAATAGTCCCTGAAAAATTCTATTTAAAAAATCCACGCCTAAGGTGAGAATAGTCCCTGAAAAATTCTATTTAAAAAATCCACGCCTAAGGTGGTGTTGGATAGTCCTTGAAAAATGTTATTTAAAAAATCCACGCCTAAGGTGAGAATAGTCCCTGAAAATGTTATTAAAAAAATACACGCCTAATGTGAGAATAGTCCCTGAAAAATGTTATTTAAAAAATCCACGCCTAAGGTGGTGTTGGATGGTCCTTGAAAAATGTTATTTAAAAAATCCACGCCTAAGGTGGTGTTGGATGGTCCTTGAAAAATGTTATTTAAAAAATCCACGCCTAAGGTGGTGTTGGATGGTCCTTGAAAAATGTTATTTAAAAAATCCACGCCTAAGGTGGTGTTGGATGGTCCTTGAAAAATGTTATTTAAAAAATCCACGCCTAAGGGTGAAAAAATGTTAGTTAAAAAATCCACGCCTAATGTGGTGATGGTCCTTGAAAAATGTTATTTAAAAAATCCACGACTAAGGTGTTGATGGTCCTTGAAAAATGTTACTTAAAAAATCCACGCCTAAGGTGTTGATGGTCCTTGAAAAATGTTATTTAAAAAATCCACGCCTAGGGTGTTGATGGTCCTTGAAAAATGTTATTTAAAAAATCCACGCCTAGGGTGTTGATGGTCCTTGAAAAATGTTATTTAAAAAATCCACGCCTAGGGTGTTGATGGTCCTTGAAAAATGTTATTTAAAAAATCCACGCCTAGGGTGTTGATGGTCCTTGAAAAATGTTATTTAAAAAATCCACGCCTAGGGTGTTGATGGTCCTTGAAAAATGTTATTTAAAAAATCCACGCCTAGGGTGTTGATGGTCCTTGAAAAATGTTATTTAAAAAATCCACGCCTAGGGTGTTGATGGTCCTTGAAAAATGTTATTTAAAAAATCCACGCCTAGGGTGTTGATGGTCCTTGAAAAATGTTATTTAAAAAATCCACGCCTAGGGTGTTGATGGTCCTTGAAAAATGTTATTTAAAAAATCCACGCCTAGGGTGTTGATGGTCCTTGAAAAATGTTATTTAAAAAATCCACGCCTAGGGTTGAATTAGTCCTTGAAAAATGTTATTTAAAAAATCCACGCCTAGGGTTGAATTAGTCCTTGAAAAATGTTATTTAAAAAATCCACGCCTAGGGTGTTGATGGTCCTTGAAAAATGTTATTTAAAAAATCCACGCCTAGGGTGTTGATGGTCCTTGAAAAATGTTATTTAAAAAATCCACGCCTAGGGTTGAATTAGTCCTTGAAAAATGTTATTTAAAAAATCCACGCCTAGGGTTGAATTAGTCCTTGAAAAATGTTTTTTTAAAACATCCACGCCTAGGGTAGAATTAGTCCTCGAAAAATGTTTTTTTTTAAATCGACGTCTAAGGTGGTGATGGATAGTCCTTGAAAAATGTTTTTTAAGACATCCACGCCTAGGGTAGAATTAGTCCTTGAAAAACGTTTTTAAAAAATCCACGCCTAGGGTAGAATTAGTCCTTGAAAAATGTTTTTTAAAAATCCACGCCTAGGGTAGAATTAGACCTTGAAAATGTTATTTAAAAAAATCCACGCCTAGGGTAGAATTAGTCCTTGAAAAATGTTATTTAAAAAATCAACGCCTAAGGTGGTGTGGGATAGTCCTTGAAAAATGTTTGTTAAAAAATCCACGCCTAGGGTAGAATTACTCCTTGAAAAATGATATTTAAAAATCCACGCCTAAGGTGGTGATGGTCCTTGAAAATCTATTTAAAAATGCACCCTTGTACTTGAAAAATATTTAAACTAAATTCTATTCTTTTTTCTTTTCAGGTATGCTATTCTCCATTCAGTTCTAACCTCAATTATTTATTGATATTTAAAGGTATGTGGCAAATATTTACTTACACAAAATTTTGTATTTAACATTACTCTTGTTGGTGTTCACAAACAAAGAGATGTGACCTTTGACATTCAAACCCTATTAGCTGGTATTTGTACTGTGTTGTCCTTTTTTAGCTGATAATGTAATTGACAATTATCATTCGATGTGGTCTATTAGTTTAACCGTAAAAGATATATATATATATATATATATATATCCGTCGCAATATTTATATGTCAATATTCATAATTACTGTTCCCGTCAATAATCATTTAATATACATATAAATATATTTACACATTGTAGGTCAGCAACTGTCATCCTAAACCACTATCATGCGGGAGAGAGGAACTTCCTACAATTTAATTGGCCAGGAAGTACATATATACATACCGATATCTATACGTTTATGTCATTATGACCACATATTTGAAAATGTTTTCATGTCTATACCAAATTGGCAATACCGGCTTTTGTTGGTTGGTCGGCTGACTGGTTGGTTGGGTTGGATATTTAGACATTATTATGATGATATGGATAAATGCGGGATATTACCATTAATATTATCTCATATTAATTTAATTAAAATACAACAAAGGAAACTCAACACAAAAATTGCACACATACACTCAAACAGAAATTTTCCTAATACATACTTACAACCCAGTATGTTGACCCGTAACTATGATTTCCATTTTTTAAGGACTTAAATATTTAAATAGATTTTTTTTCAAGGACCAAAACCAGCATTAGGCGTGGATTTTTTAAATTGAATTTTTCAAGGACCAACACCAAACTTAGGCGTGGATTTTTTAAATTGAATTTTTCAAGGACCAACACCAAACTTAGGCGTGGATTTTTTAAATTGAATTTTTCAAGGACCAACACCAAACTTAGGCGTGGATTTTTTAAATTGAATTTTTCAAGGACCAACACCAAACTTAGGCGTGGATTTTTTAAATATTTTTAATAAACTGGATTTTTTAAATTGAATTTTTCAAGGACCAACATCAAACTTAGGCGTGGATTTTTTAAATTGAATTTTTCAAGGACTCAAAGGCCAATTTCCAAAAATTATTTATTTACCCTTACACATATTTGTAATAACTAAAATCTTTAAAATAATGTAAAATTAGTTTTTTTTAAAGGAGCATCAATTTAATTTTCTATTTTACAATAATTCAAATTTCAAGCCATATTTCCCGCTGCATATCTCCTGTAGAAGACTGGTTTTGTAAAAGGCATAGCCTGGTGGTATTACGCCGCCACTGGAAAATAAAAAAAATCATTTCAATTATAAATCAAAATCCTTTTAATCTTCGACTTACTTTCCCGGCATCTTATTCCTCTCAGTTAATATTGTCCTGGCACACAACAGCAACGCCTTACTGGTTACCCCATAGTAGTGATCCTTGGCCGATATTCGTACAATAATTTCATGGGTTGGGTCGGGTGCATGCGGTGTACTTTGATACCACCCTCTTGCCTTGAGAATATAATTAAATTCGATGGCTTTACGATTTGCCTCCACAGGACCTTCATGGGTCATAAAACCAAAGGAGAATATGTGCGGGTATTTAAGCAACAATTCTCGTGTAAAATCAAAGCTGGCCATCACATAACCGATCATCATGAGTATGGGAAAGAGTAGGGCCCACCAATAGGTGCTGTATAGGAAGGAAGAGATTTTCTTAAATAATTTTTTTCAAGCCTAAGCGTGGACATTTTATATTTTTTTAAAATAATTTTTTCCAAGGACTATCATAGCCTTAGACGCGAATTTTTTAAATAATTTTTTTTCAAAGACTAAAAGCCTTAGGCGTGGATTTTTTTAAAATAACTTTATCAAGGACTATAAAAGCCTAAGACGTGAATTTTTTAAATAATTTTTTCAAGGACTATTAAAGCCTTAGGCGTGGATTTTTTAAATATTTTTTTTTTTCAAGGACAATAAAAATAGAATTTTTCAAGGACTATCAGAGCCTTAAGCGTGGATTTTTTAAATAATTTTTTTCAAGGACAATAAAAATAGAATTTTTCAAGGACTATCTGAGCCTTAAGCGTGGATTTTTCAAATAGAATTTTAAAGGACTATCAGAGCCTTAAGCGTGGATTTTTTAAATATTTTTTTTTCAAGGACAATAAAAATAGAATTTTTCAAGTACTATGAGAGCCTTAAGCGTGGTTTTTTTAAATATAATTTTTTAAGGACTATAAGACCCTTAAGCGTGGATTTTTTAATTGGTATACTTACGTAAATCCAATATAGGTTCCAAACTGTATGGGCCGCTTACTTTCACAGAGGTTTAAGAGACGTTGGGATCTCTGGACCATAAAACAGGCCGCCGTTGTCATGGCCACAAAGAAGCTGTTCGTACCATCAATTTGGTGGATCTTGCGACTGGAAAAAAATTTAATTAAAAAAATATTTCAAATTGAATATTTACTTACTTCAATTTCAATTTTGGATTCGTTTCCCGTATTCTCTCACAATTCAATTGCCGCTGCAGCGTGGCAATTTCTCTTGAGTGCTGCATGTAATAGACAATACTATCCCAGGTACCACTATGCAATATCGCCTTCGACGATTTATCGACATAATTCAGTTTTGTTTCCCAGTATAGCTCCACAGAATTGAGAATGCCTGGAATGTTGAATTTTTAAAATTATTTATTTGAGGAAAATTGTTTCCATACGCACCTGGGTGATTTAATTCCGCATACAGTACACCCATTTCGGCGGGTATACTTTCAAATCCACAGGTGGGTATGACAAAGGATCCCTTTTGCTGAGCCAATTCGTTGTATTTCAATTGTATGATGTCCGCATATTGTGGTTCTCCAGTTATATCCACATGGTGAGTACCGGCTTCGATGCAGGCTCGCACCACAGCCTCGCCATACAGGCGGAAGGGTCCACAGCAATTTAAAACAATCTATAGAAAAATGATTTCAATTATATTTTTCAAGGACAATAGACGTGGATTTTTTTAATAGATATTTTCAAGGACTAACCCAACCTTAGGCGTGGATTTTTTATAGATTTTTTCAAGGACTATCTGGCCGATAGGCGTGGATTTTTTAAATAGAATTTTTTAAGGACTATCTGGCCAATAGGCGTGGATTTTTTAAATAGATTTTTTCAAGGACAGTCTTGCCAAAAGTCGTGGATTTTTTAAATAGATTTTTCAAGGACAGTCTTGCCAAAAGTCGTGGATTTTTTAAATAGAATTTTTTAAGGACTATCTGACCAATGGGCGTGGATTTTTTAAATAGATTTTTTCAAGGACTGTCTGACCAATGGGCGTGGATTTTTTAAATAGATTTTTTCAAGGACTAACCCAACCTTAGGCGTGGATTTTTTATAGATTTTTTCAAGGACTATCTGACCAATGGGCGTGGATTTTTTAAATAGATTTTTTCAAGGACTGTCTGACCAATGGGCGTGGATTTTTTAAATAGATTTTTTCAAGGACTGTCTGACCAATGGGCGTGGATTTTTTAAATAGATTTTTTCAAGGACTGTCTGACCAATGGGCGTGGATTTTTTAAATATAATTTTTCAAGAATAGATGGGCGTGGATTTTTCAAATAGATTTTTTCAAGGGTTGTCTGACCAATGGGCGTGGATTTTTTAAATAGAAATTTTTCCTAGACTAGTATACTATTTAATTTTAAAATACGGTGGCCGTAACAGAGAAGCACCATTTCACATTTTTCGATTTTCTTTACTCACCTTACACTTCTTAGCCATAACATCCAACGATGCTTGATCCTCCACATCAGCTACAATGATGGGTATGTGGCTCAAATCCTTTCCCGTTTTATTTCCAATTGTTTCCAATACGGTTTTTAATTTTTCCTAAGGGATAGAAAACACACACACTTTTTCATTATCGTTTCCATAGTGTCGGATGTGCCTCCTTACCTCATTTCTTCCCGCAATGCCCCATTTGAAATCTCTAAGTATGTCCACAGCATCTTCGACAACAATTTTCCCAGTAAAGCCACTCGCTCCAAATATAATGGCATCCAATTTTTCCACTACCATTGCGATGAAGTGATTCCGTCCAACTAAATCATGGATCAAATTCCAAAATAGAATGACTTGAAAAAAAGTCGCATACAATATTCGAAATAATGCAAATGATTGAGTGATGACGTAGGAAGTTTTAAAGCGATGCGGTTGTCAAGGGTAGCTAAAAAGAGTAAGGAGGTGTGTGGTAGCCTATGTTCCGTTTCATGTAGGGCAATTTATGCATTAAATCATTTTATGTCTGATAATTGAGCGACAACGTAAGCAATTGTATGATGGTGCACAATGGGACATTAATGTCATATGCGCGGATTTTTGAAAAGTATTTTTCAAAGAATATTACAGAAGGTTTATATTAGGCGTTGATTTTTTAAATAATATTTTTTCAAAGGCCGTGGATTTTTTGACGGCCTTACAAGGCGTGGATTTTTGAAGGCCTTACCAGGCGTGGATTTTTTAAAGGCCTTACAAGGCGTGGATTTTTTAAAGGCCTTACAAAGCGTGGATTTTTTGAATGCCTTACAAGGCGTGGATTTTTTGAAGGCCTTACAAGGCGTGAATTTTTTGAAGGCCTTACAAGGCGTGAATTTTTTGAAAGCCTTACAAGGCGTGAATTTTTTGAAGACCTTACAAGGCGTGGATTTTTTGAAGGCCTTACTAGGCGTGGATTTTTTGAAGGCCTTACAAGACGTGGATTTTTTGAAGGCCTTACAAGGCGTGGATTTTTTAAAGGCCTTACAAGGCGTGGATTTTTTAAAGGCCTTGGCGTGGATTTTTCAAAAAAATATTTTTTCCAAAGCCATATAAGGTTTATTAAAAATATATTTTTTTCGTAGTTCTGTGTTCCACCCTAATAAACACTTACTCTCAAAAGTTTATATTGTCTTTTATGCAAATATTGTACCATGCCAAAAAAATTGTTGACTTGACAATTTGTTTTGTTTAAATATTAAACATGAAGAAGTTTCTCAATCACTTTTTCAACATTTTTTTGTTGCTGTTGTTCTTCTTCTTCTTTGTTCATATATGTCTACTTGAATATCACAAAACACACATAAAATTATTCTTTATATGCAAATGTCTACTACAAATAGTTTGAGTTGTCACGAAGATTGGTTGTCTGCCTGGATGGTTAGCTCTTCGTTTAGATATCTTCATTTTCACCGCCTACCTGGGACTAGTTATCCTCCCGGTTTCAATGACATGCAAATAAAATTTAATCAAAATCGGAAATTCTAATAGCCACACACACACAAGGTATGGCATTGAGTGAAGACAAATTATTGTAGATTTGTGTGAGTGTGCGTTTGGGATTGTAAATCTTCTTAAGATTGAGTTTTCATTTACACAAAGGTACACTAAGTGAAAATGTGAATCTTCATATGTGGGGTATTTGTTGAATGTGTGATTTTAATCTCTACCAAAGGGAAGAAGACATAGATGTGGTAGTAATTAGTTGTAGAAATAACACATAAGAGGATAGTTGGAAAGCTATGAGGAGAAAGTCTACTAAGTATAAGGGTCTATTTGAGAAGGTCAAAGATCTTTTATAACAAAATGTGAATAACTAATGTCTGGATATGGTGAACGGAAATATGATTTCCAAATAAAGGGGTGAACATTTAGTTAAACCTCTTGTCAGAAAAATTCCAAAAAAATCCATGCCTATTGGACTGTTAGGCCTTGAGACACAGTCCTTATAAAATTCACGCCCATTGGCCTGTTTGGCCTTGAGAAACAGTTCTTAGAAAATTCACGCCCATTGCCCTGTTAGGCCTTGAGAAACAGTCTTAGAAAATTCACGCCTATTGCTATATTAGGCCTTGAGAAAAATTATTTAAAAAAATCTACGTCTATGGGTCTGTTAGGCCTTAAAAACATTTAAAAATTCAACTCCAATTGGTCTGTCAGGACTTGAAAAAAAAATCGTTAAAAAATCCACACCAATTGTTCTGTTAGGTCTTGAAAAAAAAATCGTTAAAAAATCCACACCAATTGTTCTGTTAGGCCTTGAAAAAAATCGTTAAAAAATCCACACCAATTGTTCTGTTAGGCCTTGAGAAAAATTCTTTAAAAAATCTACGCCTATTGTTCTGTTAGGCAATGAGAAAAATTCTTCAAAAAATCCACGCCTATTGGTCTGTTAGGCCTTGATAAAAATTCTTTAAAAAATCTACGCCTATTGTTCTGTTAGGCAATGAGAAAAATTCTTCAAAAAATCCACGCCTATTGGTCTGTTAGGCCTTGATAAAAATTCTTTAAAAAATCCACGCCTATTGGTCTGTTAGGCCTTGATAAAAATTATTTAAAAAATCCACGCCTGTTGGTCTGTTAGGCCTTGATAAAAATTCTTTAAAAAATCCACGCCTATTGGTCTGTTAGGCCTTGATAAAAATTCTTTAAAAAATCCACGCATATTGGTCTGTTAGGCCTTGATAAAAATTCTTTAAAAATTCCACGCCTATTGGTCTGTTAGGCATTGAGAAAAATTCCTTAAAAAATCCACACCTATTGGTCTGTTAGGCCTTGATAAAAATTCTTTAAAAAATCCACGCCTATTGGTCTGTTAGGCCTTGATAAAAATTCTTTAAAAAATCCACTCCTATTGGTCTGTTAGGCCTTGATAAAAATTCTTTAAAAAATCCATGGGTATTGGTCTGTTAGGCCTTGAGAAAAATTCGTTAAAAAATCCACACCTATTGGTTTATTAAGCCTTGAGAAAAATTCTTCAAAAAATCCACGCCTATTGGTCTGTTAGGCCTTGAGAAAATTTTTTAAAAAGTCCACGGCTATTGGTCTGTTAGGCCTTGAGAAAAATTCTTTAAAAAATCCATGCCTATTGGTCTGTTAGGCCTTGAGAAAAATTCTTTAAAAAATCCACGCCTATTGGTCTGTTAGGCCTTGAGAATTATTTTTTTAATAATCCACGCCTATTGGTCTGTTAGGCCTTGAGAAAAACTCCTTAAAATATCCATGCCTATTGGTCTGTTAGGCCTTGAGAAAAAATCTTTGAAAAATCTACGCCTATTGGTCTGTTAGGCCTTGAGAAAAATTATTTTAATTATTTTATTTAGGCTTTGAGAAATATTCCTTTAAATTTACAAAATAATCAGAACCGTTCCATATCGTTGCATATTTGAAACTCCGCTTCAAATCCAATACTGACGTCTATTGCTGACAATGTGACAACCAAGTACTTCCATTCGACACTGAATTCAAATTTTCCGAAAAAAATTAAATCGAAAAAAGAAATACAACTGTAAGCTACGTTAAATGCCATGCAATGCAAATTTCGCTGACGACGACGATGCTGATGATGCATTTTACATACGAAACTCGTTTGAATTTCATTCCCAAAATATAAAACACACTCTCAAATATATGCACACAATGTTTGCATATCATTGTGTATACACGAATCGTTGTCAAAGAAGTTGAAAATAAAAAAAAAAAATATTGAATTCAATGACTTGATAAGATAACATCAAATCATTTTCTTACTCTGTTCCAACAATCTGCTGCTGCTGCACCACTACCGCTCTCACATCTAACAAGAAGAGTTTTGTTGCCCTCCCAAAGTTTTTTTCTTGTACCGACAGATTGGCAAAATGTAAAACATGACAGCATTTAATGAATAACAAATAGGGAAGCTGTAGTTGTAGTCTTTGAATATTTCAGCTCAATAACGGAAATATTGAGGTGTCACTTTGAAAGGTCGAGAATAACGTAGTCACTTACTCGCATGCACACACACGCTCACTTAGGGAATATGCAAATCACAAGTCAGAGAAATGTACTAAGAAAAATATTTGAGGCATGGTGGAGGTGCATGATGTATAGGAGACAAGGACTAAATATGTATTAGCAGTTTTTCGATGAAAAAATCCTGAAGTGTCCTTGAGAAACATTTCTTTAAAAGTGTACGGCTTATGAGTTTCATAGTCTTAGGGAAAAATCCCATCAGAAAAATTTCTTTAAAAATCCACGCCTATTTGTCTACTAGCCCTTGAGAAGAATTCCTTTAAAAATGCACGCCTATTTGTCTACTAGCCCTTGAGAAGAATTCCTTTAAAAATGCACGCCTATTTGTCTACTAGCCCTTGAGAAGAATTCCTTTAAAAATCCACGCCTATTTGTCTACTAGCCCTTGAGAAGAATTCCTTTAAAAATCCACGCCTATTTGTCTACTAGCCCTTGAGAAGAATTCCTTTAAAAATCCACGCCTATTTGTCTACTAGCCCTTGAGAAGAATTCCTTTAAAAATCCACGCCTATTTGTCTACTAGCCCTTGAGAAGAATTCCTTTAAAAATCCACGCCTATTTGTCTACTAGCCCTTGAGAAGAATTCCTTTAAAAATCCACGCCTATTTGTCTACTAGCCCTTGAGAAGAATTCCTTTAAAAATCCACGCCTATTTGTCTACTAGCCCTTGAGAAGAATTCCTTTAAAAATCCACGCCTATTTGTCTACTAGCCCTTGAGAAGAATTCCTTTAAAAATCCACGCCGTAGACAAATAGGCGTGGATTTTTAAAGGAATTCTTCTCAAGGGCTAGTAGACGTGGATTTTTAAAGGAATTCTTCTCAAATAGGCGTGGATTTTTAAAGGAATTCTTCTCAAGGGCTAGTAGACAAATAGGCGTGGATTTTTAAAGGAATTCTTCTCAAGGGCTAGTAGACAAATAGGCGTGGATTTTTAAAGGAATTCTTCTCAAGGGCTAGTAGACAAATAGGCGTGGATTTTTAAAGGAATTCTTCTCAAGGGCTAGTAGACAAATAGGCGTGGATTTTTAAAGGAATTCTTCTCTTCTCAAGGGCTAGTAGACAAATAGGCGTGGATTTTTAAAGGAATTCTTCTCAAGGGCTAGTAGACAAATAGGCGTGGATTTTTAAAGGAATTCTTCTCAAGGGCTAGTAGACAAATAGGCGTGGATTTTTAAAGGAATTCTTCTCAAGGGCTAGTAGACAAATAGGCGTGGATTTTTAAAGGAATTCTTCTCAAGGGCTAGTAGACAAA